CACCTCGGCCCAGCGCTCTCCACGTGCCCTGCCCCGCCGGCCAGGCCTCGGCCACACTCACAGCATGATCCGCGAGACGTGCAGCCGCACCGGGACGCTCCTGTCTTTGAAGGCGGTGGTGATGAAGCAGCCGAAGGTGAGCGCCGCCATCACGCTCAACGAAAAGGCGAACAGCGAGTTCGCCCGGGACAGCACCGTGTTCATCGCGGCCGTGTCCGCCGAGCCCTGTTCCACACTCACAACCAGGACCCTGTTCCGGCCACGGACCGGCTCCCTGCGATCCGCGCCGCCTGCGCTGCGCGCGTTACGGGGGCGCGCGCCGCCGCCGCCCCGCCTTCTTTCCGGTCCTCCGACGCGAGCGAGCGCGCGCGCACCCGCCTCCCGGGACACACCCACCAGGCGACAGGACCGCGCCGAAAGGCCGACGCTGAGCCGCGCGTGGGCCCGCCCCTTCTCTCACCACCAATCAGCGACGTACAGGGGGGGGCGGGGTTTCTCCACGGATGGCCCGCCCCCGTCCTTGCTTCCTGTCCTCGGGCTGGTTGACTCGCCCACCATCCTCTCTCGGTCTTTACGTCCTGTACTTAGGGTTTGCGGGTTCGTGATTGCTTCTGTTTCATTAATTTGTACTTAAAACCAGAAACAAAGCAAGATAGTTTGGAGCGTGTCCCGACGTGTCGTGTTCGGCAGCAGCACTTTGCAAAACACTTTCCCCTTTGTGAGATTGGTCAGTGTTAGAATTTAAGCTTTTTTGGAGGTTGTAAAGAGGAAAAGAGGCCATCCGCATACCTAAAAGCAGTCCGCCTTTACACTGCTAATGTTAGTACACTTACTATTAATGCTTTGCCTTTCAACAGCAGCTAAAGCTGTCTTAGACTATAAGGATTGATGTTATCAATTCTAATATATGCGTTTTACATGGTATTTCCTGTAACTAACAGGATGACTCCACTGGGTTCTTGGGATCAAAGGAGATGATGGCTATAAAATTGCTATACAGCACAATGTGTAAGAAAATTAGCAAGCCATAAATACATAATGGCCCAGAGGGGCTCTAGGGTTCAGACTGTGCCAGTCTGTCCTTAAATATACTGTCTGCTAACACTTCCTTTCACAGCAAGGGATTTTTGTAATAAAAAAAAAAAAAGGGATTCAGAGAGTCAAGTAATCTCAAATTAATTTTTTATAATTTTGCATCTAAACACCAAAAGAGGTTGAGATTATCTGGCCTAGAATAAGATAGATGCAAAACAGAAATGATGATCTCACCCTGATTCTGGTTTATGTTATCCATTGTTGAGCCCTCACTTCTTTGTATTGTTCATTATCATTCAATTAATTTCTTAAGCCATACAGTTAGGATTATTACTGAGTGCCTGCTGCATTTCCGTTCAAGCTTCAAGAGTACAGCACTAATAAGGGAATATCTGTGCTAAATTGGAATAGAGCCAAGTAATGACAAATGGAGAGATCCTTAATTGAGTTTAAAACCTAAATTTTTATCTCCCAGGAAACCACAGTTTATTCAAGAGAGCAACCATTATTGAAAGGCTACTGTGTTGCAAATGGTACAGAGATGTGTATGAATCCCTTTATACCCTCATGAAGCTTATAATCTAGTAGAATCAAAATAAAAACAAATCTGAAATGCAAAATATAAATACCAAGGAAGTTACAGAGTGCTCTGGACTTCAAAGGAGGAAAAATTCACATCTGTGGTGATGTGGGGGCAAAGCAATGTCTGTAAAATGTTTAACACAATGCCTAAATAGCATGTCTTAGGTATTCTCATTAGAGGATGGCTTAGAAAAAGGATGCTCATTGTTACAGATATTGATGTCCAGGAAGAATATTCCAAAAGATACAGTACAGATATGTCTAAGAGATACCCAATAGTCTGGCCCAGCTAAACAATGTACGTATAAAGGATTAGGCAGAAATAAGGCTAGAAAGGTAAATTAAGGCCCTACTGTAGAAAACCAGTCCAAAAAGTTGGGATTTTATATCAAAGGAAATCACATATAAAACAAGAGTGGAATCAAGAAACTGGCAGACATTTATAAATTATATGTAGAGAGTAAGTGACAGGATGAGGACAATGGGACAGAAGAAAAGGAAGACGGATAGGGACATTTCAGAAACATAATCTGTATGATTTTGCAACTGCTTAGATAGGGCTGGGATCTGCAGATATGAGGAAAGTAGATTGTGAAAGCACAAATAAAGTTAATATTGTTATAACAACATGGCTCGAACTTGAGTGACTGAGAGTGCCAAAAACATAAATCTACAAAAGGAGTAGAGTAGAGAATTCTCTAATTCTGTTGTATTTCTCCAATTGTTGATTTGTATTTTCTAGATATTTAATCGTAAAACGTACATTAGAGACCATTTGACCTTTTCCTTTCTAGTTCTTATATTTCTCATTCTTTTCTGTTGTCCATCACAGTGGTCAACATTTCTAACATAATGCTCAATAATAATGGAGATAACTGGCCTCCTTTTCTTGTTTCTGAATTTAACAGGAAAGTTCTTTTTATTTCTCCACCAAGTAAGATGCTGGCTTTGAGCTGGGTGTGCGTCTGTGTGTGTGTGTGTGTGTGTGTCTGTTTGTGTACGTATACCTATATCTGTATTTCATATTGATAATAAGGAAATATCCATTAATTCCTATTCTATTGACAGGGTCGTGTTTTTTTGTTTTTTTTTTTTTTAACATGAATGAGTGTTGAATTATTTTCAAATGCATTTTCTATATCTTTGAAGGTGATTATATAATTTTTCTCCCTAGCTCTATGCTACAGACTGAATTCATATGTTGAAATCCTAACTCCCAAGGTGGTGGTATTAAGAGATGGGGACTTTGAGAGATCAGGTCAATGGGAAGGAGCCCCCATGAATGGGATGAGCACCCTTATAAAAGAGACCTGGGAGAACTCTCTTGACCCTACTTCATGTTAGGACACAGTGAGAAACTGCCCGTTTATGACCCAGGAGGCCAGCTTTCACTAGACACTGAATCTACCAGCACCTTGATCTTAGATGTCTAAGGCTCCAGAACAATGAGAAATAAATGTCTTCTATTTATAAGTTGACTTAACCTAGACTACAGTAGTTTATTATAGCAGTCCAAAGGGACTAAGACTCTCTGTTAATATGATGGATTAAATGAATTGATTTCCTAATATTGAACCATTGTGCCTTCTTGGAATAAACTCCACTTGGTCATGATAAATTAATTTTTAATATGCTCTTGGCCTTTCATTGCTAATTGTTCTTTTTGTCATAAATATTCATAAGTGAAATTGTTTTTTCTTTTTTGGTCGTAATTTTACACTCAAATTATAAAATGAATTTGTAAGTTTTTCTGTTTTTTTTTCTATGTGCTGGGATGTTTTAAGTAGCATTTAGATTATCTGAGCTTTAAAAATTGGGTAGAAATTCCCATGAGATACTATTTTTCTATTTTGATGGTTATTATTAATTCTAATCACATATATTTGTTTTCTCCCTTTTTTCTTGATTATTTTATTTAGTACTTTTTCTTTGTTGATTTTTTTCCAAATAACTTTTATATTTCCTGCTTCTACTGTTTTGTTTTCTTATTCATTATTTTTTTAAATATTATCAAGTTTTTTTTTTATTCCACTTTTCCTTGGTTTACTAGCTTTAGTACTTAGACATTAAATTGCTATATTTTCATTTTTTATTGTTATGATAACTGCTTTATCTGCATCCAAAATTTTCTGATATATTGTTTACATTTCCTATTTCTCCTTTGAGAAGTACTGTAATTGTGTGTGTGTGTGTGTGTGTGTGTGTGTGTGTGTGTGTGTTAAATTTCCAGGAAGAAGGACTGTTTTGATTGTTTTAAATTAATGTCTGGTTTTATTTCACGTAGGCATCGAATGCTGTTTGTATTATTTCTGTTCTTTGAATTATTGAGATCTTCTGTGTGGCCTAAAATGTCACTTTTGTGAATATCAATGTGCACTTGAAAAGATGATATATTTTCTATTAATGGTATATGGAATTTGACATATATGTATGAGATCTACCTTATTGATTATGTTATGTCTTTTATATCCTTAATTTTTCATTATCTTGATTTTGTTGGATTGAGAAAGATGTGTTAAATTCTCCAAATTAATATATTTTTGTCTGTTTCTCCTCTCATCTTTATAGTTTCTGCTTTATAAAATGTGTTATGTAACTGTTGTTTTCATTATGAATGGTAATCTTTAGCCTTATAAAGTATTCTTTCACTCTTAATGCTTTTGATCCGAATTCTAGCTTGTCAAATACCAAAATTGCACAGAAGGAAACTGAGACTATTTATCTGAAGTAATGTTATGGACCTCAAATTAAAGTTTAGCACTTTTTCATTAAATTTTTTTCTACTCTTTGTTAGTTTCTACTCAGAACCTAATGGCAGTGGTGAGAGAAGACATTGGAGTGCTCTGTCACTTTATCTGCATATATATTCCTCTGTAACAGTCAGCTAAGAAGAAGGAACAGGAGTACATTATTTAATGAGGAAATACTTTAAATAAAGCTGTATGCACGTAGATAGTTAAATGATAGAAAAAGGAGATGAACCCAAAGAGATGAGCATTGTAATCAAATATGTTCTTGTTAGGGATATCTGAAGTGTCTATGAAGCACCAACCTACCTAAGGAAGTTGCTGCAATGGAATATGTTATAGGTCTGACACATTGAGGACTCCACCTGAAAATATTTTTCACGAAGACTATAAATTATACTGTCCATCATGGAGTGTCATACATTTTTCCATCTTTTTCAGTGTCCAGGACAGAACCTTGCACATAGTAGATGCTTTAAAAAATTCTAATTGAATTGTGATACCCTTAATCCATAGGCTATGGTATTTTTGAAGACATTTCCATGGGAAAAATGTATGTCATACAAAAGTAACAAGCATTTTAATTGTAAAATGATAAAATGGTGTAAATTGGTATAAATTGATTCCATATTCCCCGGACAAAGCTAAATTGGATATGTAGGCCGAGGGCAAATTATAGAACGCTTGATGCAAGGATAATAAGTTTAAACATTATCCAGGAGATGATAGCAATGTAGAGGATTTTAGATCAGTTGAGTATAAAGACCATGTGGGCTCCAGGTAGGTAAGTAATTTCTTAGGGACGGATGAGACTGCCAACTGGTATACCAGGTGAGAGATTATTGCAGTAGTTCAGATGAGAGAATCAAGGTGTAAATCAAGGTCATGGCAGTGCAAATGAAGTGAAGGAGCAGATACATCTTTGGATTCCCTATAATTTCATTCACAGCTTCCAGTCCACTGTCTTTGCCACCT